GGGGCTGCGAAGCGTGCAACTATCGCCACTTTCGTGGGCTCCTGGGAGGTCGCGCGGAGTGGCATTGCACGGGGACCCGATTTAAACCTCGCGGCTCCCTGGGGGGCTCCGAAGTGTGAAGTTGTCGCCGCTTTCGTGTGCTCCTGGGAGGTCCGCCGGAGTGGAGTTGTACGGGGGTCCCGTCGAAACCTCGCGGCTCCCTGGGGGGCTGCGAAGCGTGAAACAATGGCCGCTGTCGTGGGCTCCTGGGAAATCGCGCGCGGTGGAGTTGTACGGGGATCTATTTGGGACCTCGCGGCTCCCTGGGGGGGCTACGAAGCGTGCGAATGTCGCCGGTTTCGTGGTCTCCTAGGAGGTCCAGCGGAGTGGGGTCACACGGGGATCGATTTGAGACCTCGCTTTGAAACTGTCGCCACTTTCGCGGTGCCCGCACTCCCGGTCGTTTGGCGCCAGCTTTGAACGTTGCAGGAAGGTGGCAAAGGAACTTGCGCGCGAGCTCGGCCTGGAGCAGTTCCTGCGCGACTGACGGAATCAGCTGCCTGCGGTGTCAGGCGAGATCGCGGTAGTTGTCGCTGGCGCTGCACCTGTGCGGGCGCTGACGAGAGATGCAACTGATGGCGACTATTCGCATCCCAAGTGGCAAGAATTCTCATAGCGCGCGGCGCTGTCCCGTCACGCAGCGCTCGGCGTTGTTGCATCGCAGCTCGCAAGGAAACGCTACGCCACGCAGCGCATGGCGCTGTCCTTTGTCCGCGTGGCCTCCCGTCCTCAACTGCCTCTGGCCCGCCATGCCACCCCGTGTGCTTGCCTCGCACAGCGCGACGCGCCGTCCTGCCATGGAGCGCAAAGCGCTGTTATGTCCCGCGTACGTAGCGCTCGGCGCTATTGCTGTTACTGAACATGTATGTTTCCCTTCACCCTCCTCCGTATCCTTCTACCTACGTCCCTTGCCATTCCTGCATGTTTTTTTGTGTGCTTCTGAGAATTCATGCGCACTGCGGGTCCTTGAACATTTTTCTGTATTGAGCTGTCCTAGATCTATTCGCCAAGTGTTAGAAAGGGTTGGGCACGTCACTAATATGTTTTTGGTGGGTGGGTGGGTAGGTGGGTGGGTGGGTTGAGACACTTGCAAGGATGAGAGGCCTTCATCTTGGGTTTCTTGTGGCTTTTTGTTGGGCCTCTCGGGCGGGACCTTCCATTTGATAACATTTTGTTTGATCTCTCAGGCAGGATCCTCTTCCTCTTCGCGCTCTTCTGGGATTTATCAAGCGGGGGCCTCTTCCTCTTCGCGATGTTTGACTTCTCGGGCGGGAGCCCCTTCCTCCTCACATTCTTTGGGGCCTCTCCGGCAGGATCCTCTTTCTCTTCGCGTCTTTTGTTGGCCTCTCAGGCAGGGACCTCTTTCTCTTCGCGTTTTCTGTTGGCCTCTCAGGCAGGGGCCTCTTTCTCTTCGCGTTTTGATCGGACCTCTCACGCGGGAGACTGCATACAACTTTCCCTTTTTTACCTCTCAGGCGGGAACCTCCTCCACGTGTAATTGTCTTGAAAAGCCTCCCATCCCATGCGGGAGTTTCCTTTCCCTCGAGGTTTTGGCAACGTCTTCATCGGCAGCCTCCTAGCTGCTACTGCTGCTGGTACTGCTGGTGGTGATTCTGCTTCTGGTGCCGCTGCTGCTGGTGCTGCTGTTGGTGGCGGTGCTGTTGTGACGGTTATCATGCTGCTTGTTTCTCGTTCTCCTCCTCGATGACGACGAGGGCGAAGAGGAGGAGGAGGAAGAAGAAGAGGCGAGTACATTAACGGGAATGAGGGCGATGAGGGCGATGAGGGCGATGATGATGATGATGATGGTGATGATGATGATGACGAGGAGAAGCAGGAGGAGGAGGAGGAGGAGGCGAAGGAGGGTGAGGATGGCAACGATTAGTACGTTGACGCTTGGAGCCACTGTGGGGTCTTATTGGGGCCCTCTTGGGATCCTCATTGAGGTTCCCTCAGGGTCCCTCTTGGGGCTTTCTTGTTCTTTGAGATCTTGGTGTTCTCTTGGGGCTCCTTTGTGGGGTCTTGGGCCTCGGGTTTCTCTCGGGGGCTTTCCTGGGGCGCCCTGGAAGGCCTTTTGAGGCGGCCATGAGGTAGATTATTGATTAAATGAGTTGAGGTCCTCGATTTTGCCCCCCCCCCCCCCCCCCATCCTAAGCGCTCTTTCATTGCCTCCTGGAAGTCTCTTGGTGCTCGTCTGGGAGGTCCGGATGTCCTCGTCTGGCCCTTTTGGGGCGCTTTGGGCCTTGGGGCATTCTTGGAACCATCTCGGAGCTCCCTTGGTGCCATCTTGGAACCCATCGGTCAACGAAGGGGTGGGTAACCTTTCCTCCCTCCCGCTGGGGCCATAAAGATCACCTCTGCAGGCCTTCTTTGGGGTCTCTTGTGACGCTCTTGGGCGCTCTTGGGGCTGTCCTTCCCCGTGCAGTTGGGTGCAATGCCCAGTGCCTCGGGTGCAATGCCCATTCCATCGGGTGCAATGCCCAGCCTCTTGGGCGCAATGCCCAACCTGCTGGTTGCAATGCCCAATCCCTCGGGTGCAATACCCAATCCGTCGGGTGCAATGCCCAATGTGTCGGGGGCAGTGCCCAACATGTTCGGTGCAATGCCCCATCTTTCGGGTGCTGTGCCCAATTCTTCGGGCGCGATGCCCATCTATTCGGGTACCATGCCCACAGCATCGGGTGCAATTTCCAGCCTGCTAGGTGCAATGCCCTCTTCTTCCTCTTCTTCTTCTTCTTCGTCTTCTTCTTCTTACTACTACTATTATTATTATTGTTCTTATTACTATTCCTCTTATTCTTATTATTACTACTATTATTATGTTTATGCGGATTCCTCTTCTCCTTCTAATGATTCTCCTTCTGATTTTTCTCCCGCCTTCTCGCGGCGAACGCCGGCGCAGACAGTGGCGACGGGGCGCGTGCACAGGCGGCTGCGGCGGTGCCGAAGGAGCCCGCGGCGGGCACCCGGCGAGTGCTGGGCGGTAGCCGCGGCCGGCGAGATCCGAGCCGGGCTTTGGGCAGGCTGGGCGCGCGCAGGAGGAGCAGCATTACCGTCGGGGCGTTGACCTTAGGAACCCTAAATAAGGAACGAGGCCCCTTTTTCCCATAAGTTCAACCTCGATTTCCCATGGAAAACCTCAGGAAAACCCGAGGCAAACTTTGAAACAATCAAGGAACACCGAGCCCCTCCCCAACGAAAAGGGTTCCTTAGTCAGCGCCCCGACTGTACCGTCGGGGCGTTGACCTTAGGAACCCTAAATAAGGAACGAGGCGCCTTGTCTCCAGAAGTTCAACTTCGACTTCCCATCGAGAATCCAAGGATAACCCGGGGCATAATGTGAAGCAATGAAGGAACACGGAGCCCCTCCCCAACGAGAAGGGTTCCTTCTTCAGAGCCCCGACTGTATTGTTAGGTCGGGCATGTCCACCTTGCAGGGGGGATTTTGGAGGAAAAATGCCAAATAGTCAAAACATGCCCCCCAAATAGCCCAGCATAGTCAAAACATCGTCCCCAGACTATTTTCTTAAATGCAGCTTTTGAATCTTCCCCCTGGAGAGGACAGGCCCGACTTAACATGTATTGCTTATCGGTTCCTTCCTCGAGCGGCAGATGCACAGGACGGCGCGCCGCGTGGACTGGGGAACATCCAGTCCGCGTTGGAGAAAAAAGGGGGAAGGAGGGCACGCTCCCAGTCCACGACGGCTGGACGTCGACCAGCGCTGTCGCGAAGGCGCTGGGCTGCAAGAGCGCCCCTCCCGTCACCCACGAGGACACCTACCGGGACCCCGCCACTAGTTTCCATACGGACGACGCCGACGCCGAGTCGGCACGGCTGAACGGGGTAGCATCGCCAACGGTACGGCCAGCTGCAGCCGGACGAGTACGCGTTCTACGTGAATGTAAGTGACGACATCGACAGCATGCTCAACGTCGGCGGTGAGCGCGGGGGGGAGCAAGAAGGAGAAGGCCTTCTCAGGCCTTCTCAGAGGCGGCGGGGCTTCTCAGAAACGCTCTGGCTTTCTCAAACTTTTTCTGTGCTTTCGGGCAAGGCATAAAACACTTCTCATAAAGACCGGGGACTTCCGAGCCTCCTGAGAAGGTCCGCCCCTTCTCATTTTCCCCCCAGGCTCGCCGCCGACACAGGCTTAGTCTATGCCAACTGCGGGCCGTGGACGAGCAGGTTCTACTGACCAGTGCCTATCAAGGTCTGAGGGTCTCCATGTTGGCTGTTGTTTGCTCGGGGGATCGTTCGCGATATTGTGGTCGCTCGTGGGTCGCGCGGTTCTGTGTTCTGCACAGCGTAGCATGCCACTTGCCGTGTACACTACCTTCTCGGATTGGCCGCTCACGAGAGGATGCTTGCTCGGGAGACCGCTCGTGACAGCGCGGTCGATGATGGGTCGCGCGGCTTTTTCTGTACAGCTCAATCTAATGATGCTAGACGTGCGCGTTACCTTCTGGGGTTGCCGCTCGCGAGAGAATGAGAGATATTGGTATGTGCATCGAGAAAAGAACCAAAGCAACATACACGCGACCGCCATCGCCAACCAAGAAAAACAACGCATCGATTTTAGCAGGGGTCGGCGAACGGGCCAGCGTGTGTATATATATATATATATGTACACAAACACTCCTATCATATGTCGTTCCTCCCCTGCCTCCCTCTGGCAGTCTGCGAGCCAGATGCGCAGCCCGCCGACGCCGAACAACATGGTCTGCAGGAAACCGCCTAGGCCCGTCAGGAAGCCGACGCAGCCGCCGGTCGGCGTCTCCGTCCACACCTGGCGGAATGGAAGGTAGGAGGGAGGCAGCCTTGCTACTCATGGTAGGAGCAAGGAGGAGGAGGAGGAGGAAGAGGAGGAGTAGGAGGAGGAGGGGGAGGAGGAGGAGGTAGATGTAAGATAATGAGGTGGGAGGAAGAAGGCAAGGAGAGGGAGAGGGAGGACGATGTGAATGCGGAGGGGGACGGGGGAAGGAGGGGGAATCATGATGCGTGCGGATGTACGTGAGAGGACGTGCAGGAAGATGATTAGCGACAAATGAGGATCGAGGACGAGGATGAGGACGAGGAGGAGGAGGAAGAGGAGGAGGAGGATGTAGTTGTACTTGCAACGATGATGATGAAAATGGTGATGCCGATGATGATACGCATCGTGGTGGTGAGATACGGTGGTGAGGAGGATGGAATGGAGGAGGTGAAGGAGACGGGGAGCAGGAACAAGAAAAGGAGCAGGGAGATCCAGGAATACCGCATAACCTCCTGCCATCACAAGCCCTCTCCTTATTGTGCTCCCCCTCCTGTGCTCCTGCTCCGCCTGGTGCTCCTTTTTCTTCTTCTCCTCCCCCCTATCCTCCTCCACCTCCTCCTCTTCCTCCCCTCCCCTCCCCTCCTTTGCTTCTCCTCTTCCTCCTGCACTCTTCCTGTTTCTCTCCCTGCCCATTTCCTATCATGCTCGTCCCTCCTTCTCTTCCTCCTGCGCTTCTCCTCCTGCTTCTTCTCCTCCTTCTCCTTCTCCCCCTCCATCCTCATCCTGCTGCTCATCTTCCTGCGCTCCTCCTGCTCCCCTTGCTGCTCGTCTTACCGGTCCGGGTCTCCCTCCACCTCCCCGCCCTCATCTGCGAGGGCCCGCCTCTGGTGGGAACACAAGGGAAAGGGTTGGAGTCCGCCCCCTTTCCTTTCCTCCCGGCCCCCGGTCCTTTCCGATGCATCGCCCGGGACCCCCCCCCCCCTCCCGTGTCCAAAACGGGGGTGGTCCCCACTTCCCCTCTCCCCCCTTTCGTTCCGAAGTGCAAACTCACCACTCCACCCTGAACCTCCTAAACCCTGACCGTAATACATCGTACCCGAAGCCTCACACCCTAGCCCTTAACCCTGTCACCCAACCCTGACCTGAAATCATATCGTGAAACGGTACCTCTAATACTAATACCCAAGCCGTATCTCCTAAACTCTTACACCCTAGCCTGAAACCAAACCCTGACCAACGCCCCGAACACTAACACTACCACTCTAGCGCCGTAATCGAGACAGACACCCAAACCCGTAGTGCAAGCAGTCAGCCTAACCCCAAAACGCCCTGATCCGAAGTCCTAATCCTAAACCCTAGCACCAACGCTCAAAAAATCCAAGCGCTATCCACAAACCCTGGCACGCTAAACCTCAACACAATAAACCATACATCGGTCCAGTGCGTGGTCGTTAGATGTCATCACGGCGCTCGCCAGCGGAAGTCGGCGGAAGTAAAGCGAGGCCGAAGGCGGCGGAAAGCCGGCTGAAGACAGCGGAACTAACGGACGCCCCTTCCGAGCCCCCCCTTATGCTCGCTCCTTTTGGCATGGGCTGGACGGGATCCTGCCTGACTTCGTCCCCTTCAACAGTATAAACTTATACATTTAGTTCAGCCGATTCAAGAACCCACCCACTAACAATGGGATGCACCAATATCCCGTCTCGTTTCCAAACCCCGCCAACCTAGGATCTGCCCAATGTGAGACGGGGCTGAACTGTTGCAGAGGCCCTGCCGGGCTGGGGTCGTCTTGGGGCCATCTCGAGACCATCTTGGTATCATATCCGAACCATTATTGGATCGCGCGGACGTCGATGGGTCATTCTGGAGCCATCGCGGGCGTGCGTGGATCCATCTTGTGGCCATCGTGCCATCTCAGGGCCACTCGTTGCTCGTAGGCTGGGCCATCTCGGAGTCGGCCTGAGACGATCTAGAAACCATGTCGGGATCATGTTGGGGCAGCGTGATCATCCCAGGATCGCCTGGTGGTCATCGTCTGTGGCCTGAGGCATTCTTGGAACCATTTTGTTGTCATTGGGTCATATTGGGATCGTCTCTGGGTGAGCACTGAGCACGCGTGCGCAACGTGTCATCTTGTCGTTGGCACACTTTCAAATACTTCCTCTTGTGAGTTTCCAGGGGAACTTTTACTGGGACCAAGTAATACCCGAACGCTAAGCTTAAGCAGCAAGCCCAACCAAATATCCGAATCCTGAACTGAATTACCCAACTCCCTAATCCTAGCCATACACGCTCACACCCTAAACGACAGAGCATGAGCCTTAATCCCAACTCTCTACGCCCTAGCACCCTGAACCCTAACACACTCAACTCGAACACCCAACCCCTGCCACTAAAGACTACCCCAAACACATAACCCCAACCATAGCATCCTGACACCCTAATTTGAGGGAGTTTCTGTGGAACTCACGTCATCCTCACCCCCGGCGCGAAGAGCACGAGCCCAGAGCGGCCTCCGGCACCGTTTCCGGACGGATCCGCTGGATCCGCTGGATCCGGTGACGAATCCCAAACCGGCGCCCTCGCCTGAGACATCCTCACAAAACGGGCCCCGGGGGGGATGCCCAGAGGAGCCCAGAGCGGCCTCCGGCACCGTTTCCGGACGGATCCGCTGGATCCGCTGGATCCGCTGGATCCGGTGACGAATCCCAAACCGGCGCCCTCGCCTGAGACATCCTCACAAAACGGGCCCCGGGGGGGATGCCCAGAGGAGCCCAGAGCGGCCTCCGGCACCGTTTCCGGACGGATCCGCTGGATCCGCTGGATCCGCTGGATCCGGTGACGAATCCCAAACCGGCGCCCTCGCCTGAGACATCCTCACAAAACGGGCCCCGGGGGGGATGCCCAGAGGAGCCCAGAGCGGCCTCCGGCACCGTTTCCGGACGGATCCGCTGGATCCGCTGGATCCGGTGACGAATCCCAAACCGGCGCCCTCGCCTGAGACATCCTCACAAAACGGGCCCCGGGGGGGATGCCCAGAGGAGCCCAGAGCGGCCTCCGGCACCGTTTCCGGACGGATCCGCTGGATCCGCTGGATCCGCTGGATCCGGTGACGAATCCCAAACCGGCGCCCTCGCCTGAGACATCCTCACAAAACGGGCCCCGGGGGGGATGCCCAGAGGAGCCCAGAGCGGCCTCCGGCACCGTTTCCGGACGGATCCGCTGGATCCGCTGGATCCGGTGACGAATCCCAAACCGGCGCCCTCGCCTGAGACATCCTCACAAAACGGGCCCCGGGGGGGATGCCCAGAGGAGCCCAGAGCGGCCTCCGGCACCGTTTCCGGACGGATCCGCTGGATCCGCTGGATCCGGTGACGAATCCCAAACCGGCGCCCTCGCCTGAGACATCCTCACAAAACGGGCCCCGGGGGGGATGCCCAGAGGAGCCCAGAGCGGCCTCCGGCACCGTTTTCCGGATCCGCTGGATCCGCTGGATCCGCTGGATCCGGTGACGAATCCCAAACCGGCGCCCTCGCCTGAGACATCCTCACAAAACGGGCCCCGGGGGGGATGCCCAGAGGAGCCCAGAGCGGCCTCCGGCACCGTTTCCGGACGGATCCGCTGGATCCGCTGGATCCGGTGACGAATCCCAAACCGGCGCCCTCGCCTGAGACATCCTCACAAAACGGGCCCCGGGGGGGATGCCCAGAGGAGCCCAGAGCGGCCTCCGGCACCGTTTCCGGACGGACGACCTGACTGCATAACACGCCTGGATATGCCGACGGGGGCGAAGGAGGAGGAGGAGGAGGAGGAGGAGGAGGAGGAGGAGGAGGAGGAGGAGGAGGAGGAGGAGGTAGCGAGCGATGAAGAGCGAGTCCGAGCATACGGACCCGCTTCAGCGGGTAGAAAGTGATGAGCCGCACGGCGAGGCTGCTAGCCATCGCACCGTGCCGCTTGACCTCGACCGCGCCGTCCCCACCTCGTCGGAGTACCGACGGAGGAGACCTGGCGTCGAGGTCATCATGGGCAAGGGTCCCCCGACCTGGGGTGCAGCCCTCGCAACGCACGTGAGATCTGCATCTCCTCGTTCGCGCGAGTGGAAGCCACGTCCGAATGTCCCTTGCATTGGGCTCGCAGCTTGCGGTTGCGGCCTCCAGCCACACTAAACGCCCCGCAGCAGAGGCAGATGACCGTGGAGCCAAAACGCTCCACTCCGTGGCCGAGTTCCGAGTACAATTCCACCTCCCGATCGACCCCGACGGCGACGACGTCAGCCCCCACTCCCCCATCCTCACGAGGGCCTTCAGAGGGCCCTAGGCCTTCATCAAGGCCAGCAGCACGCACGGCGGCGTCCACCGCACGTGAGGCGTGCCGATAGCATTCGGGGGTGAGGGCAAAATAACGCGTCGCCATCGCTCTCTGAAGGTCCGTCGGCTCGCATCGCTTCGCTCGAAGGGCCTTCAAGGAATCGGTCGTCCGCGCGAACCTGTTGCACTGCTGGCACCTGTATTCAGAAAGCCTCTCACAAACTCGAAACTCATGCGAGTCTAGCACAACCTGCGGGGCGGCGCCATCACGACAAACCAGAGACGGCACAACTTCCCTAGGTTGGAGCTCGGCATTCTTTTTGGCGACCGCTTGGGCCATCCAAGCAAAGACCTGCGAATGGTCTTTGGCCGCCTTCATGGCTTGCTTATAATAATCCTGCATGGTTCGGCCAGTTGAATGCACCTGGGCCCCTCGCTTGGCGAAAAAGTCAGCCCACTCGTTAGCAACGAAACGGACAAAATCGCAATCTGGGGCCTCCAGAACCTCCGAGAGCTCTCTGTGCGCAGGGACCCACTCGAAGGTAGGAGGAGCCTCAAGACAGCGCCGCCGTATTTTTTCCCACACAGCCGCGCGTCGACCGCCAGAGGAGGCAGCGGCCTCCGACCAGGCACACCCCTCACGCACAAGATTCAGGTGATCAGACACTACGATTGCAGGCTGCTGCGCAACTTCAACTGCTTTGAGCGCTGCGTAGTGCTCTGCACGTGGCACCGTCTGTACCGCTCCTGGTAGCGCGCCAAAAATTGCACGCAAAACGTTGCCAGCCTCGTCGACCTCCACCACAGACCAGCCGCAGCGGGCCAGCTCTGGGATCGACGACGCTTGGCCGCTTCCGTCGGTGTGCACCCTCCGCCCCCATCGCCCACGCCAGTCCCCCCATCCCAACACGGGATACACGTCGCTCGGGGGCGACAGCGCTGGTGGCTCGGGCGGCAAACCGAAGCTGAGATAAAATTGATCCGCTCCAGATTGCGAATTATTCTTGGCCTTGATGGCCTTCCTCAGCTCGAGGACATAATCTGGAACAGGCACGTCCAACCCGTCGAACATGGCTTCGCACTCAAACCATTGGTGAGACTCGTTGCCAGTCGCCTGCTTGCATACAAAGCACTGCGGGGAATTGCGGAGGCCGATGCTGTGCAAACGCTCGGGGGTCCAAACACCAGCCGACCAATGCGTGCGCAAGGCGCCTCGCCTCGCAACATCTCTTACCGCAAGTACTGCTTTCCTCATTCCCCTCCTCCAGCAGCTCTCTCCAAGGCTGTTGGGAAGGTGCTGAAGGATCCTAACTACTTGCCAGCGGCGAAGGCTTTCCTCCAGGAAGGCTTTCACGTCTCCTGGGCAATGCCTAACTAAATCGACGTGGCGACCTCGATCGTCCACAAGCACTGTTGGAGAAAACATCGTCCAACCCACACGCAGCAGCGTGACCCAAACAGAGGCGATGGGGCCACGAGCTCTGGTCCACGAGGTGCGTTGGTCTAGCTTCGCCCTGACCGCCTCCCAAGCTCTACGGAGCCGTCCAGGCGCGACCCTATTATCCCAGATGAACGACGCAAACCTAACCACCAAAGGAACCGTCGCATCAAAGATAAGGTCGAACCTGTCGTCTCGCTGCGTTGCTAAAAACAGGGTGAGCGACGCCTTGGGCTTGGCCCCGCACATGCCTCCAGCAAACGTCCTAAGCTCTCGAATCGCCGTGTCAGATATCCCTGACACTCCAGCGCCGTGGCCGCCCGCTGGGAGGAGCCCCGTCCTCCACAAGGATTTCACTGCCTCCCCCGCGGCGTGCTTCAATCCGCACACTTTGCGCCTACGAGCCTTGAGATTCTTAAGACGCATCTTTTCTTGTACACGCAAAACCCTAGTGCCGTGCATCTCGCGACCTAGATTGCGCATCGCTCGCTTCGCTCTCATGCGAAGAGGCATCACCAAACGAGCGAATCTATCTCGGCCTCGGCTCGCGTTCGCCACAAATCCTGACTTGCTCGGCTGGACCACTAGCCCGAGCGGTCTCACGCTGAGACAACAACTGTGTACTGCATTGGCCAAGTCTCTAGCCTGACCTTCGCTCTCTCCTTCCCTGGTACGCTCGCCAGACCCGTGGAAGCTCACATCGTCGATCAGCGCTCGCGGCGTGACCGTGGGGTATATAGTCATGCAATCCTGCAGGCTTCTATGCAACAAAACCCGTAGCATCGTAGTGGCCAATGAACAGCCCGCTAGGATACCCTGGTCAGACTGCACTGGAAAAGACAGGGAGGCAAATGCACGCAGGCAGCGAGGTTGCAGATACGTCTGAATCGTCATCCAAGCTAATCTCATCGGAAACCGATTCAGCCTGGCCTCGTGGAGCAGGCTCTGCAAAATGACAGTCTCATAGCATTTCAACATATCGATAAAGACTGTGAGGCTGTCCTCTCCTAACTCGTGCGCAATCTCGGCCTCTAGATTCAATGAAAACGCACTATCCGAGCTCGACCTACCAGCTCCCGTCCCCCAGAAACAATCGAGGTCATGCTCCACCTCCCAGGCGGCCGCAATGGGCCTGCGGGCTCTGCCCCAGACTCTCAGAAGCGTGTTCAAGAGCGCGATCAACCTACATCCTCCCGACGCCTTGGGGAGGCGAACAAGCTGCGTCAGCAGTCTGCGAGATGGCCAGATCAAGAGACTTTCACACTTCATGAAAAGCTTCGCTAAGGCCGCCAGGCCTGAATTGCTCAGAAAAATTAAACTGCGAGGAGCAAAGCTGAACTGGCCGACTCCCGTCGCCCATGGGAACTGAAGAATGGATCGCTGCAGGTCCTGCACAGACAAGGGCGGGAGCTCCTCCCAGTCCTTCGCCTCGGCTGGCAGCTGTGGGGCGGCGGCATCGTGCATCGACCAGATCTCCTCCCAATCCCTCGTGGCCTTGTCGGCTAACTGATGCGGCTGGGCAGGCGTGCGAGCGGTCACGTTTGCATTAACCACCTCCTGCAACGCTCTCCCTTTCGTGTGCCTATGCGCGAAGCGCGCGCCGTTAAAGAAGCTGGCTGCCGCCCAGTCCCTCCAGGCTTTGGCAGTCTTCTGGCCGTGTGCCTCAGCAAGCTCCGCTGCTTTGGCCTCGATTGCATCCAGCACTGCATCCACTTCTGGATGGGCCAGGAACTCCATTCCCAAGAGAAAAAAGTCAGACGCCCAGCTGTCGAGCTCGCTGAGCACGGCCGTCTCAGACAGCACCTTCGCCACAAAGCGGCCTAGCTCGATCATCAAGCTCGACAGCTTGTGAAAATGGGCCGTGTCCGACGTACCTCCCACTTGCTGCAGACTTACCTTCGCCGTGACATTAGTGATAGCCTCCTTCGCCCTACGCATGTGCCGTGCCCATCTGGCCGCGACGCACCACGCTTTGGCTGCTTTTGACAAATATGAACGTTTCTGCTGTGGTTGCCACTGCAGCTTGACCTTCTCGAACTCGACGGGGCCACATGCACCTGCGAACGGCTCGGCCTTGGTGCCAACGACGTCATGCCTGGCAAGCAGCTCCAATTCAATTTGGCTCAACACAGCATCCCATGCCACTTGCAAACTGCTATCGTCACATGCGGCATCTATAATACATGCCACACCATGCCAACGTAGTGGGAACCTCGAACATCCTGGTTTCGGCTGCTTGGGCACGGAACGCGGCCCACGCAGCTCACGATGGAACAACTGGATGTCATTGCCCCTGATATGCATGTACACTGGCAAGTGTGGGAAGGTGGTTGTCGCCTCCTGAACGCACGGCTGCTCTACTCGTGTCATCAAGTTAGACGACGTGAGGAAATAGTCGATGCAACTACCAGGCATCGCCTGTCTGCATGTGGTCGCGGCTGGAGCCCGAAGCATGCCTCCAAGCCCGTGTAGCCACCGCATATCACCGAACTGGGCCGCTTCAATGTTGAAATCTCCTGCCACAATCCAATCGTGGCCTGCGTGATTCAATCTTTCCAAGTAGCTGGCGCCCCTTCTTCTATATATATATATATATACAGAAACTCCCGATCAACCGCAGAGCGGCGGATGTTCCTAGCACCGTATCCCTAACATCCTAAACGAGATCTCGCCGAACCAACAACACACAATACCCCAACACGATAACCCTAATCCTGAGCACTACACCTAACACTAGCACTCTAGCCCTAGACCCTAATACCCGAACTCCAAACGCAGCTTCTAATTAACGCCCCCCAGCCACAAACCCACCCACCCCAACCCCAACACACTGACTCTAGCCCCAAACACGAACCATAATCTGAGCACCCGAACCATGACCCTGAGCATTGAACCCTAACACCCTAACCCTGACTCTCAGCGCTAACCACTAACCCTGGCACTCCAAACCCGAACACCAACACTCTGGCGTCCTGGCCCTGACACCTTACCCTCCTAAACTGACCCTAACCCTACACACTGGACACTCCACACCCAATTCCGAGCACTCGCCAGAACCCTGAACCCTAACCCTCAACCCCGACACCCTGACGCAATCCCATAAACCCTTGACGCCCCCCCTCCCGCGCGCAGGAGTGCGCCGCGCCCCGCCCCCTCTGCCGCCCACGCGGGGGAGGGAAGGCGGGCGGGGGGCCCAGGCCCCAGCGCAAAAGGGTGAGGGGGGGGGGGTGCGCAGAGGTGTTCCCCCACCCCCCCCCCACCCCCCGCGTCGGGCTTTTTCGGGGGTTGGCCCTGGCAAACGTTGAAGGGCGCGTGGGAGTTGGCGAAGGAGTGCTCGAAGCTCGCAGCCTCGGCCCCCCGGTCGGCTCTTCACGACGGCGGGCGCATGCCGGCCCCCACCCCGCCAGCTTCGCAGTCGCCACAGCCGTCACGCACACTGCCGCTGTCACTGCTGCTGCCCCTGCCATGCCACTGCCACTGCTACTGCCGCAGCCACTCCCGCTCCCACGATCGTACCAGCCGCCACTATCAATACCGCCACCAACCAACGCCAGTACCAATAGCACTACCACGACAACTACTGCTATGACACATACTGGTGTTGCTATTGCCGTTTCTGCTGCTGCTGATGCTGCTGCTGCCAGCGTGCCCGTCATATCTGAAACGAGGTATATCTCGGCCACAGATGCTACGTCTAGAGAACATGCTATTGATGCCTCCACCCCTACTTCCACCCTATCTCTACGTCTACCTGTGTCCCTTCCTATACCTGTGCTACTGCGTCTAAAATATGCATGTTGCTCGACCTCTGCTTGAACAACTACCCCATACAACGTACCTAAGCATACTTTACGCATGATCTCCTCGTTATAAATCTACAATCTAACAGATCCGACACGTTTACCTGCACCCTACCCTCGCCTCTACTTCAATGTACATGGAATCGCTCCCTGAGCGCTTCCCTGTCACGGTCGTGATCAGCTTCATGAACCAGAGTCCGCCGTGCCGAGACTCCGCGCTTCTTCCTCCGTCATCCCCTTTCCCACATCATCTTACTCCCCCCTCTCCCTCGCTCCTCGCTCCTCCTCCTTCCTCGCTCCTCCTCCTCGTCTTCGTCCTCCTCCTCCTCCTCCTCCTCCTCCTCCTCCTCGTCGAGCGTAGCCAAACGTCCTCTTCCTCCTCTTCCTCTTTCCCCTCCCGCGCGGAGTCAGCATGTTCTTCTATCACGGCGAAGACCTCCTCGCCAGAAGGCTCTGTGAGGGCATTGGGAAGAGGAACCGTGCAGGACCTGACCAGGGTCTGAAGAGGAGGCGGCGGCGGAGGAGCGAGACAGGATGATAGAGAGAGAGGGAGAGAGAAAGAGAGAGAGAGAGAGAGAGAAAAAGAGAAAGGAGAGAGGAGCGAGAGACAACGAGAGAGATAGAGAGAGAGATAGAGAGAGGCGGAGGAAGAAGAGGAGGAGGAGGGGGGGAGAAGGAACGAGGGGGAGTGAGGCCTCGTTGCTCAGAAGGCCCGGCCAGGGGCCGAGAGGATGATGAATGAGGAGGGGGGGGGAAAGAGGAAGAGGTCTTGGACGATCATGAGGATGACGACAAGGAAGACAATGATGATCGATGCGCCTCGGTTTCGAAGAGAGAAAGAAAGAGAGAGAAAACCAGAGAGAGAGAGAGAGAGAGAGAGAGAGAGAGAGAGGGGGAGAGAGAGAGGGAGAGAGGGAGATCTGGATGTCTCTGGAGGTCTCCAGGTCTCTAGATGTCCAATGACGCGGCCTGCAGAAACCGAACAGGGGCCAAACACGCCCAAGGTCCAGGAGGAGGAGGAGGAGGCGGAGGAAGAAGACCACACTGGGAGCAAGCTGCCGAGGCTGAGCCGTGCGATCCATCGCGGCCGAGGGACTGGCCGCGCCATCCAGATCCCCGACATCGAGGTAGCCGACGACGTACATGCTCCACGACATGCAGGGCGCCTCGGAACGTGCTCGGGCCGCTCGCGATGGTGCAACACTGGTGCAGATCAGAGTGCGTGCGCGCGGACTCGCGATGCCGATGGCGCTGCTTACCGCTGGCAGTCGGCTGTTCTTTATCTCTCTCCTCCTTTCTCTGTTTCTCGTTCTCTCTCTATTTCTTGTTTTCTTTCGTTCTTTCTTTCTTTCTTTCTCTCTCTCTCTCTCTCCTCTCTTTCTGTCTCTCTTTTTTTTTTTTTTTTTTTTTTTTTTTTTTTTTCTCTCTCTCTCTCTCTCTCGTTCTCCCTCTGAGTCTCCCGTCCTGAGGGGGATCTATAGGGGGGGCCAGCTCAGGGTGGGAAACGCTGAGCCCGAATCGGCGACACACCGCCGATAGATCGGCAACAAGCTCTCGATGCTGGAAAAGCGCACGCTCCCGCACGGGGTGGGCTGTCGGGCTCCTATCGGCGATGAGTGGACGATGTGGGGTCGATGCCGGGAGATCCCAGAGTCGAACCGATAAGTCGGATCGGCGATCGAAATACATCGGACCGGCGGAGACCGGCAGGCCAGTAGGCCTCCACTGAGAAATCGGACCCCCACATCGGAGTCCGAAGTCGAATCTCGAACCAGAATCGGAAGCCAGCGACATCGAACCGAATCGGATCGGAGGAATCGAAACGAACCCTGAGGAAAGGAGGAAGGAGGAGGAGGAGGAGGAGGAGGAGGAGGAGGAGGAGGAGGAGGAGGAGGAGGTGGTGGATGCGCTCCCTCCCCTCCTCCCCCCCCCCCGACGTTGCCCCCGACCGTCGGCCGTTGGCCGTCGGCCGCGGGCGGCTCCCCGGCGCGCGCTCGCGCGCGGGGGGCTTCGGCGCCCCAAGGCCGACAGCGGCCGCGGTTGGGCAGGCGGCCCCTTCCGTCTCGCACGGGCGGCGTCCGCGACGGCACCGACAGAGGAGGAGGAGGAGGAGGAAGAGGAGGAGGAGGAGGCGGAGGAGGAGGAGGAGGAGGACCAGGAGGAGAAGGAGGAGGAGGAGGAGGGGGCGGGAAGTGCTGTCAGTCCGCGGTCTTCGTGCCCGCTCTTTCCGTGCCCACCTCGACCGTGCGGAGCGGCCCCTCCCGAACCCTCCAGGGGAGAACGAAACCGCCCTCCTTCTCCTCCTCCTCCTCCTCCTCCTCCTCCTACTGCTCGTCCTCGGCCTGATCCTGCTCCTCCATCCATTTTCCTTGAAACTTACTCCTCCCTGTCGCACCCCGAGACGTGTCTGTAGCGTGGGCCAGGCGTTTCGCCTTAGACTTCCTCACCATGCACGGTCCTTACGCTTGAAATCTGTCACAACTTCACAAGTGGAGGGCGGGCCGTTTTCAAAACCGGGTTCTCGCATTAGCACCGCGCGCTTTCGTTTGAATAAGACGCAAGAGCTTCACCGAAGGAAGGCGGTTCCATTTAGAAAATGGCTCCCGCATTAGCGCCGTGCACATTCGTCCTAGACTTTTGGAACAATTTTGCGGATGAAGGGCGATCCCTTTTCAACATGTGGTTCTCGCCTTAGCGCACCGCTGTCTTAAATGTTTGCAGCGCATTCACAGATGGAGGGCGGTTCCCTTTCAACATGTGGCCCTCGCCTGAGAGCACGCGCACATTCGTCCTAAGAACTCGCAGGAGCTTCACGGATGGAGGGCGGTTCCCTTTTCAAGATGTGGCCCTCGCCTCAGCACCGCGCACATTCGTGTTCAAAGCGCGCAGGGATGTCACACCTGGAGGGCGGCTCGTTCAACATGTGGTTCTCGCCAAATATCGCCGCGCGCATGCGTCTTGAAATTTTGCTGCAAGAGCTTCACGGCTTGCGGGCGGCTCATTTTCAACATGTGGCCCTCGCCTGGGCGCCGCGTGCATTCTTTGTAACAGTTTGCATCACTGTTATGGATGGAAAGCGTGTGGTTTTCAAATGTGGTTCTCGCACCGTCAGCGCCGCGCACATTCGTCTGAAAAGCGTGCAGGAGCTTCACATTTGGAGGGCGGCTCTGGTTGAAACGAAAGTTCTCGTCATAGCGTGGCGCACAGTCGCACTAAACGTTTACATCACTTGGACGGGTTCTCATGGTCGACGTCAGAGGAACGATGTTCAGGCGCGAGCTGGGATTACCAGAGCGCACCAGTCAGGTTGATTCGCGGTATTGCAATCCCAGGAAAGGCATCCTGGCACGATGCAGGATCGTCAGGACGCAACAATCAAGTTGCTTCGCGGCGTTGAGGTCCAAGGAGTGGCGCTTTGGCACGATTGCGGATTCTCAGACCGTTGCCTTCCCATGGGGCGCTTCCAGCAGTGATAGAAAACAGCTTGTGGGGACCTCTGAAGAAACGTGGATGGAGAATGTATTGCAACATTGTTGATGCGTCTTGGATTTACTCCTCGTCTTCTTCTTCATCCTCCTCCTCTTCTTCCTCCCTCTTCTCCTCTCGTCCGCGCCTTCGTCGCCCTAACAACTCGACCACAACATGCCCAACACGCTGCTGATGTTTTCGGCCAACGCCCGCACATTTGAATCACCCGCGACGGTGTGTAATTTCATAGTGTGTTGGTGTGTGCACACGCCCGAGTGTGCGCAATGATGTGTGTCGTCTCGTCTTGTCGACTTCGGTTGGACCTGTGAGGCCTTGAGCTGCTCCAGGAGAGATTTGCTTCGGACAGCTGGGTGTATCAACCTAGTTAGGGCGCCTCTTCGAATCTTCTCTTCCGGGGATCGGTTAATTAGCGTGAGCCCACGCGATCTATGTATACACATTTTCTATAATATATATATATATATATACACAATGTGTATGTAGGTGTATATATATACACACGAAGGTGCGCATGTAAACGTGTTCGGTGTGACCCTTTAAACTCAGCGTCAAAGTTGGGTGACCAGAACATACTATGACACAAAGACACAGAGTTACCATAACCAGTGTAAATCAGCCGGCCCCCTTGCGGGGCCATCAGGCTGCGAGGGTTAAGCTTGCTGCTCCCTGTGCCAGTTCCAGTTTCCAGTTTCCATTGTTACAGTACTGCTTTCTGCTTTCTACTGTAAATTGTTACTGTCCGCGCGAGGGGGGGGAGCCGAAAACTGCCGTGGTTAGCGTCCCCCGGCAGGGTTCTCAGAATTCCTGGGGGGGTAGAAATTTACACCCCTCACGCAAATCGGCGGGGTCAGGGTGGCGGGGTCAGGGTCCAAAAACACAGAAGGGACTTGCCACATTTCTGAAATTTCCTGGCACCCCTCACGCAGATCGGCGGGGTCAGGGTCCAAAAACAGAAGGGATTTGCCACACTTCTGAAATTCGGTGGCACCCCTCACGCAGATCGGCGGGGTCAGGGTCCAAAAACACAGGGGATTTGCAACATTTCTGAAATTCGGTGGCACCCCTCACGCAGATCGGCGGGGTCAGGGTCCAAAAACACAGGGGATTTGCCACATTTCTGAAATTCGGTGGCACCCCTCACGCAGATCGGCGGGGTCAGGGTCCAAAACACAGAGGATTTTCCGCATGTTTGAAATTCGGTGGCACCCCTCACGCAGATCCGCAGGGTCAGGTTCCAAAAACACAAAAAGGATTTGCCACATTTCTAACATTTCCTGGCACCCCTTACGCAAATCGGCGGGGCCAGGGTTCAAAAACATTGGGAATTTGCCACACTTTTGAAATTCGGTGGCACCCCTCACGCAGATCGGCGGGGTCAGGGCCCAAAAACTCAGAAGGGATTTGCCACATTTCTGACATTCGGTGGCACCCCTCACGCAAATCGGCGGGGCCAGGGTCCAAAAACACTCGGAATTTGCCACATGTTTGAAATTCGGTGGCACCCCTCACGCAGATCGGCGGAGCCAGGGTCCAAAAACACTGGGAATTTGCAACATTTCTGAAATTCGGTGGCACCCCTCACGCAGATCGGCAGTGTCAGGGTCCAAAAACACAGGGGATGTTCCGCATGTTTGAAATTCGGTGGCACTCCTTAGCAGATCGGCGGGGTCAGGGTCCAAAAACACAGGGGATTTGCCA